GAAGTGTGATATCGGTGGTCTAGCTGTTAGTTTTTAAAAGTTTACTTAGGTTTGTGATATACACCCATACACAGCATTCACACACACACACACATACACACACACACATGCACACACACACGCACACACACGCACACGCTCACATACACATACACATACATACACACACACATACACCCACACTACTTGAGGAAAATAGTACCCGAACCCTTTGTCTGGGGATTCATTCCATCAAACTTTGTTCTCAGTTTTTCCATTTTTATGAAACCAGTTCTGAAACCATTTTTTTTCATAGTTTTTCTTTTTTTTTCTTTGAAAAACAATCTGTAGGGAAGCTATTTAATATCTATCAAGCCTAAAATTTTAATTAAAAAAGAAAATCCAGTTTCTCAAACTATATTATCGGTTGCATGAGCTCTAGAAATAGTTTGTCGACATTCAAAATCTAATGCAAGAAAACCCCCCCCCGACATAATGTAATCATGTCTCCTCTTCTGTAAAACTTTGTTTTCTGGGCTAGCCTAAGTAAATTTTCACAGCTTGCAGACAAATCTCATTGTATCATAATTTGCTATACTTGACCTTGACCGTCAATGATAATTTATTTATAGAGGCACCAGCCATCCTTGTCCAGGTGCTGTTTTAGCCTCTTTTTCCTGTCAATTTGCTGTACTCTACACCAAACCATCACGCTTTTGATTCTTGACCATTTTCATTAATTTATTGTAGGTAAAACTCCGGGAGATATTGGGCTATGGCAGTTTTGCGGAGGATGTCCGGTCCTTCCAGATGCCCTTGGGCGAGGGCTCTTTGTCGTCTGCTTCTTACGGAGATGTGGATGTGAGTCGATTGTTTGCTGCTGGTTTAGTTGATGGTCTACCACCAGACCCGTCTGATAACTGGTTTAGTTGACGGTCTACCGTGATTTTTTTAGTTTTTACAGGTGGGGTATGGAGATTAGGGGGCGGGGGGAATGGGGAGAGGGGGTATGGGAATGGTGAAAGGGGGTAGGGATGTGGTATGAGGGGTGGTGATGTGGGGATTGGTGGGTAAGGTGAGAATCGGGGGTGGGGGTGGGGATGCGGTGGGATGGGGAAAGTAGCAGAAGGGATGATGTCTTGTCTGGGTGTTTGGATTGTTGGAAGGGGGGGTGGGGTGGGAGCTGGTGGAGCTGGGGGTCTCAGGGGTAGGCCTATAGTCAGCTGAGGAGAAACACAGGCTAGGGTGTCTAGGAAATGTGAAGTTCATTGAACAATTCATTATTTGTGTTGCTATTATCTGTCAAGTTATTCAAACAACATATTATTATTAGTGTTGTTACCTATGAATCACACAACGTATTTTTTAGTGTTGTTGTTATCTGTGAAATTATTTCAACAACTTCCTTTTAGTGTTGTTGTTATCTTTCAAGTTATTCAAACACTTATTATTATTATTAATGTTGTTGTTTTCCCCAAGGTAAAACGTGACAAGCTGGCCGGAGTCAACGTGGTCATCTACCGGCCGCTGCCTGCGAGACAGAAAGCTCCGGCCACCATCTACTTCCACGGCGGAGGTTTCGTTTTCGGATCTGGTGGTACGTAACTCTGAGAACATGAGCGGGCGTCTTGTTTCACTTTCCCTTTTTTCTGTCCTCCTAGCAAGAATTTGCTTAATTTTCACTTTTTTACAATTCCTTCTTAACTCTTTAAGGACGAAGCGGACGCATGTGTCCGACCAGCAATCAGTAACAGACCAAAGGCGATGTTGCAGCACGTTTCGAACCATCGTACACAAACCTAATACGTCAATTTGCATATTTCATAGCATCCATACATTTTTGCATGCCTCATTAGACAAAGAAAACAGAATGGAAAAATCTGCTCGAAAAACGAAACTATGCCTCTATATTTTGAAAGTATGTACTCCGAAACAGTGCGTCTTCAATGAGTTAATTAACTTGATTTTCTTTTGTAACAAATACAGTTAATGAATTAGTTAGTTGGTTTTTTCACTGAATTTACTTCTGTGTAATTTCCTCACCTTTCATCAGCGGTTCCCATAGTCCGTATGGTTAGCCTACTGTATGTGGAAGTTCTGCTGAAATACATGTACTGTTTGCTGTACAAGCACAGTGTGAATGTGTGGGTGATTGGCGGGTGTTGTGGTGTGGTTTGTTTCTTCTTTCCTATCAAACATCTATCATCCTTATCTCTCTTTCTTTTTTGTGTTTATTACTCTCTTGTAACACCTCTAATCTTCTGCACTTATATGACCTGATTTCGTTGCAAGTGCCGTAGAACACATACTAAAACTGAACTAAAATGTGAATAACTTCATCTCTATGTTCTGCAGGAATTTTTGACAAGCATTGTTACGAATATGCTAAAAGCAGTGGTACCGTGGTCTTCTATGTTGAGTAAGTTTTTTTTTCATGATGTCGTTGTCACATTTTTGTGTTGTCAAAGCTTTGAAATGCCAAATACATACCGTAATGGAGCAAATTGGTTGTGAAGAATTGTGGATTAATAATGGATAAAACTTATTGGTTGACTTTTTAAATGAATATTCTTCGTAAAAGTAAAAGGTAAAATGCTGTATTTCTTACTCACTTATCTTTTGACTGAGTGTTGGTTTATGCATTGATTTTGACTAATGTTTATATTAAGGTATGTTGACATGGTATGGAAAATTTTTCCCATGTTTATTTGTGTTTGTGTGTGTGTGTGTGTGTCTGTGTGTGTCTTTGTATTTTTGTGTGTGTGTATGTATGTATGACCATGTGTGTGTGTGTGTGTGTGTGTACGTGTGTGTGTGTGTGA